CACATCGAAATGCAGAAAAACCTACCCAAACTCATATCAATCATGCTATTAGACTCCATGGTCGTTCACGGAACTATGCGCACAGCAAAATGAATGAGAGCCTATAAAAAGACACCTTGTGAATTGGTAGCACGCTGATTGGATAATTTTGACCAATGGAAACTCGAAATTTTAGAGTTTAGTTTTCGCATTAAATTTGCAAAGACCACTGAACAGTATAATAAAACAAAACAAAAAGTTTAAACAAATGTAAATTTCTAAAAGTAATTTCTGTTGAAAAAATTGTCAAATTTTTGAGAATTATATGTTTATGTTTTTGAAAATCAATTTGGTGCTAATAAACTTTTCTTTAAACTTAGTATTAATCTTCTGTTATAGAATCCATCCATTTTATCGTCGTACGATACAAATTCTACTTTTCTTACTTGATTTCTCTTTAATCGTGATGTTTGCGCTTACCACCCCAATTGGATTGCTCTTTTTCCTTCTCTTTCACTTCCAGTCGATTTCTGTTTCGGATTCTACCGATGCACTTTCTGCTCTCATTCATCACCCTAATTACCTTTCGTGTAGGTTTTTAAATTAAAGCAAAAGTATCGAAAGATTCAATGAACCTTGTTAATTGGAAAACCTCTTAGGCTAACTATGAAGACCTGTATTTTTAGGTTCGGCTAAACTCAGTTCTTGAGTAACACTGAAGAATGATGATGTGGGGCAAGTCATTGTCAGTATCATTGTCTTCGGCTGCTATTTCACCGGTATTATGATTGCAGCCTACGTAACAGATTTGCGCTTTGGCGGGCCAATTCAGCTGCCGACATGCCTGCGTAGGTGGCTCCAGGAGTTCTCGGAAAAAAGACACTTGAATCCATGGTTGGTGTCGAAACTACACTGCCCATGTCCTCTTGTAGAAGAGTGCATTCACTTGGAATAAAGCAGAACACCTACAGTAATCAAGAAATTGTCGACCAAATCCTATTGACTGGAAGAGAGTTTGACCTATAATTCTAGAACCTGCCTGATCGTCAGGACAAATTTTTAGGGCTTTTGATGGGTTTGTAATGACCACACGAAAACCACGACGATCCAGGCGGTAGATTCCAAGACAAAGTATTCTCCAGCACATTAGAGCGTGTACAAATACGTCTTTGTAGCGGAGAACTCGCTAAAAGCAACAAGAAGCGTGACATGTCATAATAGTGATGGAGGCTTTCCGACTGCATTTGTGCTGCGAGTTCCATTGCTGACTTAGTCAGCACTGCATCCTACTTAAATTATGAGGCAACACAACAAGAGGGTTGAGGAATCAAGGACTCTGCCACGGATGAGGAAATCTGTGGTGATTCATAGCCGAAGTCCTACATAACTACAATTGTTTTTGCTAATTAGCTAGCAAATGGTGTCGATAGTTTGAGCACTAAGTTAAGTTTACCCGTAAAATGTGTTCATTGTAGAAATTCGTCCTTGACATGATAAATGCATCACCTCTTAGTTGAAATTGGATACTGTGTTTAACTTCAATCGAGATTAAGAACACAACTACAAAACAACACTGCCATCTTCCTCCTCACAGATGAGTGGGGTTCAGTTAAAGATTTGAGCGAGTCGCTCATTTCGGCCCACAATCCAACTGGGTCTATGTGGATATCCACTAGACCAGCTTGATTAAATACTAAAAACTCTACCTTGACAGGGCGTGTGATTAGCGTTCCAAAAGGGACTTCACACATATTGAGAAGAGCCACTCGAACGCCAGTTGCTTTCTGAAAGCCATTGCGTTGTCCACGCTGTAGCCCTAATGGAAAAGTGAATTTAAATTAAGAGATAGGTACTTGTGAATCAAAACCTACCATTCCGAAGCAGGCTGGCTGATTCTAGTTCTTCAACAGCTGTTCCAAAGAAAAGGACTCGTAGGAACTGAAAGACTGAACCGCTGAAATACAGCTAACAAATGGAAACGAAGTGTCAGTACCTGATGGTTGGCTATATCTCTAAATACACTGAGGAATGCGACTTTTTTGTGCTAAATATTATGCCAAGTAAACCCAATTGGCGTAGAAATCAGTAGTCCACACATAATTGAAGAATTGAGCTCTCTTGGATTTCACGCTTCAATGCTTTTACAAACAACATGCGCTTATCGCGACAATGTTTGCAGCTTAGCTAGTTCAAAAGTAATTTATGAAGGTATATAAAGAAATGTTCTTTTTTTACGCTGAAAATGAGCATGAAATCGCCTTCGATGCTGAAGCACAAGTTCGTTGACAATCAAATGGCCTTCCTACATGTGGGTATGTAACTTTTAAGTGATAAGATGGTTTAAAAATTGCGATTTCAAAGGCAATGGTTGTGGTAGGATCGACCAACATCTCATGTGGTGCATGAGGATTGCAGCCGACCTCAGTTCGACCATCGATTGTGCTCACTTTGGAAAACACTATTTCACTTTGTATAAACTTGATTGTGGCTAATTTTCGTCGTGTGGGCAGATCACATTTGTAAGCACTAAATCGTACGCTGGGGTGGCCAAAGGAATAGTTTAGAGGTCACCAATGGTAAGTCGATCCTCCCGACGGCTAATATAGTAAGAGGCTCCATCCTCAAAGTCTGTAAGTAAACGATCAAATGTGCACAGTCCCACCTAAGACAATGTAAGGAGCTTAGAGCGAATAAGAAAATCCTAAGCCTGATGCTGTCCACTGAGCAACTGGGACTCACTTGGCTAAGCGTCCACTATGACCCTACCAGGTGATGGGTCAGTGGTGATGCACGACTTTTTATAAACAGAAATAAAGGTCATACGAGAAGATGATATTCGATCAAACTCATACAACCGGTCCTTTAACAGAATTTATTCGAATGGATGTCACAGATTTGCTTAGCAGTGGTTTTAAGTAATAGGATTCAGAAATAGAATAAAATCAGTAGGGCGAAAAATAGTGCCCTATCCCCTTAGGCACCGTCAAGGATCGACTTGCCTTTTTAACCGCCAACTTCAAGTCTCCCAAAACTTACAGAACTGATAGAACTATAAAGGAGGGTATTGCTGAAGATGATTCCTCGAGCAAAGGCTTCTTGAAATCGTAGTGGCAATTTAAAGTCGAGTTTGTGCGACTCCGCTGAACTGAAGTGATGTGCGTTCTGTTCATAGTCTGCACGAGGTAAACAGAAACAACCAACCAACTGACTAATCAAACAAACATTCGGTGAGTAAATCAAGTGACTCGCTAACCCGTAACAAAATTGCTCAAAAGTAAGTGCGAACTTACGAAGCTCGGTTGTCATATGAATGTATCTGGATGACTGTTCAATTGCTGAACGAATTGTCATAGCACAGAGGAGTGTATTCTTATCTCTCAGGCAATGATCCTCTTCACTTTCTCTGATGGCCTCACCAAGAATTGTGCAGGCTGTGCAGTGCTTCAACCGAACTGCATTAAGGTCGCTCAAGCTACAAGGGTTACCCTGGAATTGGCGATAAGGAAAAGGCACAGTTGGTGGAAGCGAAATGGTTCAAAAATTGACTAAAGAGTAAATGCATTTAACCACATACTTGAACGAAAAAGACATTGGGGATGTTCTTGATACTTGTCCATTCCTCCTCATCGATGCCAGCGATGTTACCCAATATGACAATGTCTCGCACCTCCATCCAGTGAAAACGCAGAGGGAAGACAAAACTCCTCAAGTTCAACGACGCATCTGCCAACGGTTCAACTATGCAGAGGAGGTAGTGGTCTCTAAATTGGTACTTTATTGCTTCTGTTGGTGTCTGAAAATTTGTTGTCATGGAAGACAATTAGCGATGGTAATAAATTAATCCGAAAGTATGGGTTCAAATAACATTTTTCATCAATTGTGAACCTTGCCACCACCTTCGTGCCCACATTAGGGTAGAAGGAAGATTATAAAGACTGGGAGACATTGTAGAAATTGTTGCCATCATTTAGCCATAAACTCTCCAAGGTGTTCATCGAGGAGGTGAGAGTAGGTTTTAAAGACTCGAAAATAATTTTATATCTCTACTGGAAAGGTAATTGATGCCTTTCAAAGCCTCCAAAAACTTACTAGCTTGATTCTTTCAATCGGTGTGTCTGGTACCCAATGGAAACATCCCGTCGAATCGACATATTTTGGCACATAAGGCTTATGCGGCATTGGCGTGTATTCCGCAAGATTTGCCAGCAATGACTGCTGTCTAAAGCAGCTCCGAGTAAACAATCCGCTTTTTGTGCTCGTTGGTGTCGAAATCGGACCGATCGTGAAACGAGAAAACACTTCTTCTTTTGAATGTTCCAACTTTCCAGTCCCTGTTGCTGTGTCATTAGGTAGTAAGTCGCTTTCGGATCGTCTGAGATCTCCACTGACTGAACGCGAAACTTGATCCTGAGGTGTGTCGTGAGTGTCGATCAAAAGAGGATCGGACAAGACTTCGCTACGTCATAAAAGAGAAGTTACCAACCTCTCACAAAAGCGACTTAGAGCTCAGTTCCAGCAAATTCTAATTGAATAAAAGGTTACTTAATTTTGTTCTACGACACTACATAAGTAGGCAGTGGACAAGTTAAAGGTTTCGCACATCTCAGCGTCACAAAATGGCCACTTTTCTCACCTAGAGGTGAAAATCTGAGCTGATACGAACAAATAGTTCAGTACTTCATCTCCAGCTTTCGTATAGCATAGAAACGGATCAAAAGACAATGCGGAGGAAGTAAATTAACGATTGAGCAAGTCAACTCCAACTCACCCATACTCAGGGACTTGAAATTCGGACTCGTCATCGCTGATGGTGCGTTCCCTTTCTTCAGAACAAAAAAGAGAGTGATGTTTGGTTTGTTTAGGAAAATTGCAAGCGCAGTATGCAACACAGTTACTATTCCCATCTTGTATTCCACTCACTCATTTTTTTAAACCAGCAAAATCGACTGACCATTCACTAATAACATTCTGTTCGACAGTATTTGGTAAGATAGGCCAAACTCAAAGAACACCTTCAATTTGAGGGACGCAAGCAAGGACACTGCTGCAGTGGTAGAAATGGTGGTTAGCCTTGTGACAATCCCTATCCGTGGTCTATTACAGGTGCTAAAAATTTAGGTTGAAGCAGTTTCTGAGCGGCGATGTTGTAGCACCCAAAGGTGCTCACAACTACACGGAGGATATCAGGTCCAGTCAGAAAGTGGAAAAAACGCTGGATAGTGATCATACTTCGGGGGTTTTTTCGTCTCTTCATCTCTAGGGCGGCAGACCTCAAAAAATTAAACCTACTCCTCCAAAACTTTAGGACTCAAATGTCTGCCTAATCCTAGGTAATTGCCACAGACTAAAGAACCGTTTCATTCGAAAAAGGGACCACGGCACCAGCATAGAACATAAGCTGAATGTTATAGATAGTTATCGAGTCTAATTAACGCCAATGAATGGGATGTTGTGCCGAGTCAAATGAGTGTCTTGCAAAAGACGCCCAGAGTTCTCGGTTTGTGCTAATGCGCCTTGCAAAGGCATAAGCGTGCCAAAGGAGTTTTCTTCCACTGGAGATCTTTGGTTTTGATTAAGATACCCTCCATCGCATGAAAAATTAAGACATTTGAAGTGAAAAAATTGCTTCAGGAGAAAATGAACAGATTTGGATGGAATTTAAATAACTTTACAACCACTGAGCATTCTCAAGAGTTTCTCATGCCTGTCATAGCAAAGGCATTCGGGTGCACAATCATTCCAATAGTCACGTCGTAGTAGTTTTGACAAGTCGTTGATGAGCAAAAGATTCTGAATTCTGCGCTTAACAATGCCGACCGCACGTGTCACCCAAGACTTTAGCGACTCATGAGCAATTGAAATTATAAACTCCTTTCCGAAATTTAGCTCCATGCTAAGGACTAAAAATGATGGCTTATCATTAGTGAAAAGAGCATTCCTCTAAAGCTCAAATTACCTTTCTTAAGGCCTGCCGCTTGAATGTAGAACTGGAGGCGAGTAGGACACTGACACAAACGTCCAGTTTCATGGCTTCGGCATCTGGTGCAATAATTGCGCATTCTACGGAAATGCACAAACAGTCAATTTATTTTAGAGTTCAAAAGGTAGGCAACGAGAAACTTACCTATTGACCACGGTGGAATTTGTTGCAATGACAATGGCTTTCGTTGTCAGGGTGTTAACTTTGAGGTCTTTATAACCGGCTGGATTGATAACGACGCCTGGTTTGTCCGGATCCGTGTGGCAAAGGGCACAGATAACAATGTTCCATTTTTCGTAAGCGAACCTTAAATTGCCCCCAATAATTGCAGGAGAAGATGGAGATTGTGTTTGTGGTGTCATAAGTGTAAAATGAAATTCAAGTTCATCACACCATCTTCCTCTTTTGTGGTTTATTTTCCCATCCTCAACTAAAGTGACTCGTAAAAAACTTCGTTTATAATTTTCGCTTGCACTTCTGAGCCTTTTTTGCTAGTAAGTGCTGTTCTGCATCAAAAGTGACTCATTTTTGTGGTTGACCTTTCCTGTGGCTGCATGTCCAATCGTATGGTGTCCTGTGCCTCTCCGACTTACACTTGCATGGCCACTTAACTCTCTCTTTGGTCTGCTACCTTCTCAGCATGTTATCAGTGAATCTTTTCCCTAAGGACAATGACTCGAGCCCCTCCTCCCCCTCTCCCTCCTCCTCGTCCTCTTTAGAGAGCGCGTTGGCAGGATTGGGAGACTCATGAAGTATTGTAGTATCAGCAGTCAAAACTTACAGTGTCAACTCCTGAGCACAAAGATTGTGAAATTCATAGCTCAAACTGACATCATAAATCTCCATGGAAACGCCGTACTCATATTCACGACGCCATTTATCTTTTTGCACCTAAAATGGATTTCCAAAGCAAATAATCTTATATGCTGTTTTTCGCTTTAATTAGCAATATACGTGAAGGCATTAGGTCAAGGTCACTTTACGAAACCACTTGAAGTCAATTTGAGGCGATAAGACTAGTAAACTAATATAAGAGTTGTAAGAGAAGTTAATAAAGGAGACTTTTGCCCTGTGGATCCTGACCTGTTTTCCAACATTTTTGACGCGGTGGCCATTAAGGAGGTTGAGGATGATGGTCGAGAATCCCGGTGCTATGCAATTCAGCGACATTAAACCCAATTTCAATTCATCCATGCAGATAACCATGTCTTTGTTACGACACGTCCATCGAGGGAAATTGTAGAGGAGACACTGGAATTTAGAAGGAATTCTGTTAAGAAGTAAAGCAACGGGGAGCAATTTTTGGACTTTTGAAGACTCAACATTCTGTGAGACTTAGAAATTGCACACCTGCTGAATGGAGAGATCCACTGTTCTGACCGCATTATCAGGCCTGCTTTTTTTCGTCCTTCTCTTGTTCATTAATAATTAAAAATATCGCCGATTCAATTCTGACACTGTCTGAACCAATCACTTGCGGATAAATATCATCATTTGTTTATCTTTCGGAGCCGTAGTGTCATCAACAAAACCCCAAGTAAACAAATGTGGTCGTGAGGTGGACAAATCTGTCCAACTCCAGGCTATAGAATGCCTTGATAACCTGTCTCCTCCCAGTCTAACATTTTTGTGGGTAGCTGGTCCTGGCATTCACAAGCATGTTATAACAGTGTCATCGAATTTTTTTATTTAAAGTGTGTCGCGGTGTCACACCTCGAAATCTCTCTTCACCATCTCTTGTCAGACTTTTGAAGGTGATTGCAGCTTTGATTACCTATGAAGTGTGTATTTTCTTGAACTATCGTGAGTCAATGCCATTCAACAAATTCCCATACTTCCTACGTGATTTTTCGCAAGTACTCTTTCCCTCCCAATTCGGTAGTCAAATGTTTCCAAGCACGAAAGCGCGTACGGTGGCCAGAGGAACGATTTTGCCGCTATTTGAGATGTCTTACGACCAAACGGTGAGGCCTGCCTGCCTGCATGCTCCAACTATCAGGGTTTTGTCAGTGTCAAAGACGGTATAGTAAACATTTTTACTATCACACGCGAGTTTTCTTTTTTGTTTAACTGCGGAGGTAATGAGTGATGCAGATTTATTTCGGGACTTTGTTTTCTTTATCTGACGATGATGCGAAAATTAATGTAAGGTGGGAACTTTAGACGGCGGGTTGAAACAATTGCAACGACTTATGAATTAGATTATTTGCTACCTAGAACAACTAGGTTTGAGAGGACAAATGAAATAGGCAATATTTTGCCTTGAAAAGGAATATGCAATTTTCAACAAGTCCCATTTGTGTTTCACGTCTTCATTAGCACAACACTGATAGCTTGATTACGGCAAAAGGGACGGTATAGCGTCTTTGGGAGGGCAGAGGTTGTGAATTGGGTAGTTCACCTCTTTCCTCTTCCTCATTTTTATCCTCAAATGCAAACTCTCTCGTGGTTATTTAGTATGCGAAGTGGACAC